ATCAATAAACGAGATGCCCGCCCCTGATGCTGTGTTTGTGTTTATTAAGATTAGTTACAAAATATTTTATAATCGTTTCAGGGTGATTAGAGTATAAGCCAAATTATAGGACAAGGGTGCTAACGGGCACTTGTTTTCTGATGCGGATGGTGCGTCGCGCTCACACCTTGTACGCTTGTACGAGGCACGCATGAAGAGGTTTTAATTAATGAACCTCCAGAGCTAATGAATGCCAAATATAGAATTAAAGGAGTGATGTACAGCCACAAAGGGATCCTTCATCATGTGACCACACTGTTCAAACCTTGTTCGTTGGGTCTCTCTTCTTCCCGCCCCTTTTCGCTCCAAGGGTCGGGAAGAGGAGAGATCCAGGAAACGAGGTTGGCACCCTTCATGTGCAGACAGCTACAATGCAACATCGTAATGTAATGCGCGACAAAAGAGGAGAAAGGGTACTTTCCAACCTGGGATGCGAAAGAACCGTCACTGGGTATAGTAACGCACCTCTCTCCTCCGCAGGGGACCCCTAGTGGGGGGAGGAGGTCGAAACTGGAAGCCCCAGCCTCCAAGCTGGCCGCATTCACGGTCAAAGCGGCCCGAAACAGGGGAGGAGAGGGAGCGCACCAATATGATATACTGTACCAGCATACAAATTTTAGTTGTCGTTAATACTAATTCATCGAAAATCAGGTTTGAGTTTGAGGCCTTTATTCTTTAACACTCCATAACTGACTTCTCAGCTTTTAAAAATCGATTAAAACACTTATTTGTCACTTCTGTTAGCGAGCTGTATTTGGAAGCGGGAAAGACTGCGAGGGAAAATCACGAGAAAAAGGCTTAAGAAAGAGAGTTTTAAATTCCAAAACGAATAAACAGTAATTATAAAAACTAGTGCGCAACGAGGAAAACACTCTATCTTCAGTTCCTGTATCACAGTCCTTTTAAAACGAAGGACTGGCTTTTCCTCTTGCTATTTCCCTTAATTTTAAATAAAGCTTTGAAAGGCGTCAGTCTGGCTGCTCAGTAACAAAGTATTTTCTAGCTGATACTTTGCATGTGATTTTATATTTTTACATCCAGTGTCTTTGTTCTCCGAGATTCTTTGACAAATAAAATTACCCGTTAAAATATGTTCTCGACATAGCTTACTATAAAGTTGCGTTCAATGTTAAAAGTTTGCTGACTTGTAAACAAGTTTTGCGTCTCTGGAACAAACTCTAGCTTTCCCATTGTTGTAAAAATGGTGAATGTCCTCGGAGAAATTTTTCCTGATAGGTATTACAACACTTATAACAATAGTAGGAGTATTTGCAGCGAAACTAACTTAATGTTTACTTATGTATAGACCACTTAAAAGTAATTGGTTTTGCAAATCTCTCCGCTACACGCTATTTAATTGTTAAATCGACGAATTGCATGACAGACTATTTCAGAAGTATTAAAACCCTAATTGCCGTGTTAGGATCCAAAGTGCCGGTCAATTATTATGGTTAATTTACTAATATTTACACCCATCTATTTAATAACTGTTTGCATTAAGGCTTTTTTGCAGCTGGTATTCACATGACCAAACCTGTCAATCAAAAGAACTCTTAGCACTTCAATGGCTTCCGATAATAAAAAAGATTATGAAGGATTGAACATTTAAGCTCTGAGTTTGAAAAAAAAATTATAACTTGAAAGCAAGCTTACCTAAAATTTACCATACATAAGTCAAACAAAAATTACGATAACTACTGGGTATCTCCAACGGTTTCTCCCGTCTATGCATATCTTGGCGCTCACTTTTGAATCGAAAAGCAGCTCAGTCACAATAGCCTCCATTTGGCGCGAAAATATGCTCGGATATTTGTCCGAGCATATTTTCGCGCCAAATGGAGCCTATTGTGTTCATCATCCGTCAAATATTTTTCGCAAAACGCGCAGTTTTGACAATTAAAAAATATCACTCGGATGTTCCCCAGTTTTAGCTGGGGGATATTGAGTCACGTGACGCGTTTAGACCAATCGCGCGCAAGCGAAAATATTTGATGGATTAGAAGCTTCAATATCTCTTGATTGATGTGGCCATCATGTTGTCTAATTTCTGCAAGGCACTTTTCCGTTTTCCAGCAAATTTGTTTTGGGAAGTCATCAAGACGAATTAATTGCGGAGTAACACAGGTAAGCAACCCTAAGAGGGCGATATCTTAACAGAAACCACATCCTATTTACAGTGACGACTCAGTTCATGAACGCCTTTTCACTGTTGTTTACACTCCTTTTCTTTCTCCCTTTTCTTCTTATCTGAGCTGCGCCTGCGATGTGGTTGTATCAGCGGCACAGCCTTAGGTTTCGATTCAGCCTCCGTAAGGGTGGGGGTTGGGCTTTCTTCGGGGCTGCTGTTCTGCGGCTTCCTACCGAAGGTCGGATCTATTAATTCAGCGATGTTGCAGTCGGTCCCATTCAGGAAGTGGCCGTTACTCAGTAACTCATGACTGGACGGTTCAGAGCTGGCTACGGTGGACCGCCGTTCCAGACCTCTCTGATGCCGCGTATTATTCGGAATCTCGTCTCCTTCCTCGTAGAGACGTTCCCAGACCCCTTCTCGAGTATCTGGAGAGGTGGGGGACTGGACTGCCTGGACATGAGACGAAGAATGCGTGGAGCTTGTGGATGACCTGAGCGAGTGTTGCCTGACATATTCGGCAGATCTTTCGAGTGAGGAGTGCGGTGAGGAGTTGGGAGAATCTGACAATCGCATTTGTTCTCTGTCAAGGAGCATGTTCGTCGGAGAGTTAGAACTGGTCCGTGACAGCCTTTGCGGGCCTTCTTTCTCTCGTTCAAATGAACCATTGTGCTGCGAGGTAGCTAACCTCTCAGGGCTGCTGTATTTGCGATGTGCGAAGTCATCTCTTTGCTGGTCCTGCTCTGTTCTAAAAGACGGCTCATCCTGCAGCAGATCGGGAATTTGGTTTCTGTGGACTGCTTCCTCATACGAGGGAAGTCTCTGATGCGACTGAAACGGAATTAACCAAAGGGAAGACTTAACAATAAGTTGCTGCAAGTATTATGTTGCTTAGCCTATTTAAATTAACAAGATTTTTCTCGCCCCGCCCTTGACTCTAGCCCCTTATGGAACGTCAAGCAATCTTTCTCTCATTGGGAAGGAAAGATTGCGTGAAAAGCCTGCGTAGAAGGCTAGCTTGATTCGAAATCCGTGTAATCTGATTGGCTGCTGTTCAAGTCTGAATTTTCGCGCAGAAGTAATAACCAGAGAGATCTCAGAGATCTCTGTAGAGTTACGTCATCAACATGTAATGTTCTCTCCCACCCAGACGCCTCTAGCGAGACAAAAGTTCCAGGCGTCATCTCTAAACACGTGTTTTACTCAAGGTACAAGCTTACCTGCAGCTCTCCGGTACTTCCAGAGGTACTTTCAGCGGGAACTGTCTGCGCTCGTCTTAACTGTCTCTCTCTCTTGAGCTTTTGTAATCTGATGTACTCTCTCCTCTGCAACTCCTTTGCAAATTCCTACAAATATGTAAAAAAAAAAAACGACCACGAAAGTTGTAAGTTATTCTTAGAGAAGTTTCCATAGGAACTGTTCATCAAAATGGTCATGGATGAATTCTGAACCAATTTGCACATTATTTAACAAAACTGGGGAAGTTCATTTGAGCTAGGGTTTTTTCATTGAGCATGTAGTACATTGTGTTACATACCCTGTCCTGATATTCCAAGGCTATCTTTCTGTCATGCTCAGCCTGACGATCCTGTTCTAACAACTAACAGAGAAAAATTGACAAAATTTGAGGAACAATTTATAATGACGGAAAAGATTTTGCTAAATGAAGTAACACGCAGTAGAAAGAAAGAAAGGTGAAAAGCAACAAGAATTGATGTGGGAAGTTAGTTTGCTTCAGAAATTACAAAATTATTACACAGAAAATCAGGATATCACTGTGACAGTAACACATACGGAGTAACTTTGTATTAAGTTTGGAGGAAAACAACAGCTTAATATTCTAATAACAAGTACATGGAACATTTCAAACACAGATTTGTACCTTGTTTTCTTCCTCTTGTAACTTCCTTGCAAATTCCTGTTGAAGAAAAAGCATATTTAATATCGTAAATAAGAACAATATTTCCCTTTTTAGATGAAAAGTCCTACACTAAATTACAATTTAACATTCTAGGGTGGAGAATGGTGCAACGTGTCTTACCCATGAAAGGCACAAGACAGCAATCCAAACCAGGACTCAACCAGACCGATCATATGTGAGTCCAATGCACTACGCACTCCTGCATTAAAACCCCACCATGTTTCCTATGAGTACAATACAGGTTATAATTATTATTATACTTGCTAGCAGTCCTACCTCATCTTGTCTCTCACGTGATCTCTTATGTGCCTTCTCGCGTACACCTTTATCATCATTTTCATCAAACAAGTCAATTGCTGTTCCATCAGCCATGATGATCCTATCGCACTCCAATCTTCCTCCCTCCCTGAGTTCCCTGGGTTCCTTGGGCTCCTTGGGTTCCCTGGGTGGTAGTTGAACCACAGCTCCTTCACCTAAGTTGAACCTGTTTTCCGGCTCCCTGCTGCCACTGTTACTCCTGCTTGCATGACTGTGACGAGGCTTAGTGTCCTCTCTATCTGGAGAAGCTCGGCCATTTCTAGAGCTTACTGGAGCAGGTGCTGCAATGAATTAGGTATTTACAGGTTACGAAACACCATGAGATATTAGAAAATAGCCCAAAGAAAACACGCACGCTGATTGGTTTATAATATTGTGTTTCTATTAAACAATGTCGTAAATACTCTTTTTATTTGGCCATCGTAGCTTAATAAGAAATAACAAGCAAACTGCGGTGATAAACATGGCAATAAAACGCATGTTAAAAACAAATTTCAAGTAAACGTCAAGTAAATGAACTTTGTTTTTAACATGCGTTTTATTGCCATGTTTATCACCGCATTTCGCGTGTTATTTCCATTAAACAATTAGGTTTTGAGCTCGAGATTTCTATCGCGTGATAGTTGACGAGGGCACAGCCCCAGTCAACTATCACACATAGAAATCGAGAGTGAATAATCTAATTGTTTTAGTATAAATCTACTAGTCCTTCAAAAACTTAATCTAAGTCTTCTTCAACGACCCTTCGAAAACACAAAGAAGCGGCCCCAAGTGCACGCTGCTACGCTACTCACTATCTATCACAGAACAGATAGTGAGTAGCGTAGCCAACCAGAGAATGCCATTTGTGATGGAACACTAGTAGATTTATACTAAAACTTGATAGAGACACAGTACAAGCACAAGCTGTTGACGTAACAGTGGTACGAACAAAGAGAATTTACATTTTGATGATCAAAAAAAAAGTGTTTTTTTTTAATCACAGAATTTTATGAAAGAGATGGAAAACATTTCTCTGTGTTTCTATTGAATTACAGAAACATTCCGCTGTCGGCATAGGTTCCTACAGCATTTGTTGCTCTCCCAAACTTTCGGAACATGTTTGTTTTCTATTTCGTAATTAATGTCACTTCCAAGATAAATGCAAATTGTTCTGTCATGTAAGAACCTTGACAAAGATGCTTTCATTAGGATCTAGATTAATTTCCTCATATACTGCCCCCAACCGACTGTAATCCTAACCAGCAATTCAACAGCTGTAAAAAGTCCATTTTTGTTACAGACTGAGAAATCAACCGCATTTTCCCCAAGCATTTTGCATTCTTTTACTTAATGGTTTTATTTTTTTGGTTAAAAATGCAAGATAAAACTGAAATCTGAAGGGATTAATCAATGCTTGGAATTTTGTCAATGAATCACACCTCTTTGCATTTCAGCTTGCTCATGGTGATTCACATGATTTTCAGTGTGTTCATGTAGCCCTGAGATAGCTTCTTGAAGCATTTTCTGCTCTCTTTCCTCTCTTAGTTGTCGCTCTATTCTTTTCTGCCTTGCCCGCTCCAGCTTCATTGCTTCTTTCTCTTGTAGCTTCCGGGCAATTTCCTAAGGAAGAAAAAATTACTGTTAAAGCTCCTATTTTGCTATTTATATAAATTAAATACTGCCTGGGAACTGCCCTCATGCAACTACCATTAATTGCGTAGCTTGCAAAAAGATATTCAAAGAAACATTTCAATAAGGGAATCCTCTAGATACCCTTCTGTCTTACAACATTGTTCACCACAAGATAGGGAAAAATTAAAAAGTAAAAAAAAGTTCTCCCCACTATGTAATCAGCTATACTCTAGAGCATGTCTTGTTATATCAAGTGAGTGAGTTACAAGCAAGCACAGGAGTGCCAAGTTAAGGGAATCAATCAGTTGATGGATTAAACCCAATCGATCAAGCCAGCAAGCAAACAAGACATAGGTATGAAATTATCCAAAAATTGCAGTGTAAGACAATGGCAAAGCTGTGGCCAAAAAGTATTTAGTATTGCTGCTACATGTACGATAACATTTGCTTTTAATGACCAATTTCTGTTTGGCATGAAAGCCTGAACATCTGAAAAAAAAAATATCACCAACACCGTTCCGTAAATGATCCATTTTAGTTTTTAATAATAATTTCAGCCTAGGATATATAAGGAGGCATAAAAGCTAAAATTTCCACCAACCTCGTCCCTTGTTTCTTCATCCCGTTTTCTCCTTTCAAGGTTAATTTCCTGAAGAAAAATTCATGCAGCATTACCTAAAACTTAACTGAAGTCATGAGCTGCAAAGATACATGTAAAATATCCTCATATGTACATAGCATTACTATACAAAATAACAATGTTTATTGAGCCACTGTCAGAATGAAATGCTGCCAGTTAGAAAGGAAATTCCTTTCACCCCAAGGCTGAGGGATAGTTTCTATTCCCAAGGAACATTTCAGCTTTTATTGAATAAATTAAAGAAATTAATTACAAATGCTTTGAAATGTATCATTAAAATACTTCTTTTGGTCAAGTTTTCATGTAAATTATAACAAAAAAAAAAGCATGTTTCATACTCACTTCTTGTTGTAACTTTTGCTGGAGGTCTCTGGTTAGCCATTGCTCTGGCTGTTCCCTATTATAAAAATTAATTAGAATTCAACTGTGATTATTGCATGACTGTGATATTAATGATTTCTTGTGAGTCATGCAATCTTGATATTTCATGCTAATGGATGACAAAAACAAACAGCTGTTATACTGGGCAGTATTGGCTTTAGGAAAAGAATGTGCTGCTAAATGTTTAGCTTACAAAATGAACTGGTTTGTAGATTCATTATATTTTTTTTTACAAAGAAGTTAAATGTATATTAAACAACTGAAGCATGCTGAATTGGCTTCATACAATGTTGGATTAATAATCTTTCAGTTTTGCTTATGCAGAATAAATTTTATTAATAAATTATACAAGATATTGTTGGCTAGCACTTAATACATGCAATATTACTTGTAAGAAAAACAAAATATAATTTAAACATGCATGGCACAGTCATTTGGCAAGAAACTTGCAATTCAATTTTGATTGTTGCAGGTTTGTACTCTAATCTTTCACTACATGTATCATGTTTCACATCTTCTTTGGAAAGGAACTGTTACTGTAGACGTGCGTGCATTCAAATGTGTCTGTTATTTACACAAAGTCCAATACCAGAGCTTCAGGCAACAGCAAATATCCATTTGACACAATGTTCAACTACTGGTAAGCATTTGCAAATTAGTATGGCCAATTTAGGGGATAAATCTAAATCGAAGATATTCTGTTCAACGTCAAATCCTTAAGTGCTTAACAATAAGATGTAATGTATCTTTAATTACTGTATGTTATTGAACTAGTTTGTTTGATCTGTATTGGGGAAAGAGTGGTCTTGTTATTTCTTGGCAAGTTCATGCACTGAGCGGAGCCGGTGAGGTCAAATTTACACATGCAAAGCAAGAACCTCATGTTTAAAAAAAATAAAATTTACATGTGCCAGCCAATATTCTCCAATACATATTGAACATGGTAGCTCTGACTGATTATTTAGAATTGATTGTACATGTAAGTTATGGCTGTTCCAAAACTCTGGGCCAGGTTGTTCAAAAGCCAATTAATGATAACCCAGGATTAAAAGTTGACCAAAGTATTAAGTTTTATTGTAATACACTGTAATTAAAATGTTTTTTTAGTGCTTGTGTTTTGTGTAGTTAGAGATCATTCAAACTCAAAACAGAAAAACAAACAATATAAACAGAAAACCTCACCCAAAGGTTCTGTGCAGTGTATATACATGTATTAGGTAATTGCATAAATGTGAATACAGTTAAAGGACTTACACTACCCTTCAGGGGTGACATTTGAAACTTCTCTCAAAATTGCACATGCCTTTAGGATATTACTCATTTATTACATGACTGAGAAAATTGTGAACACTCGCACATTAATTTGGACTGCAGTGCAAATTAAGAATTTACGATAAATTGGCCTGCTCTCAGCCAATGACAATGAAGTGATTTTCTCAGTCATATAATAAATTAAACAATTTGCAGAAAGTAATTCCCGGGCAGCCAATTTTGCAAAATTAAGACTGCTCAATAAGATTTCTCCTTTTTAATTGGGGACAGTTTCCCATTAATAGTTACAACATAACTTGATATGAAAATAAGCAGAAAGCAATATTTACATGTTTTGGACATCTTCATCAGGAAGGAGCTGAGCATTTTTGACTTCTTCCAAGTATGTTATCTTGGCAGCCTTGACATCCTCACGTACTGTTTTTCTTTCATTGCGGTTTCTAATGTAATGGTGCCCAACTGCAAGACAGAAAAATAATATCAGTAATACAGTACAAGCACTCGCATGCAAAAGGATAGAGAAAAAAAAAACCCTGAATATAAAATGTCCAGGATACTATGCACACACCAATAGGCTAATGTCTCCATAATAACTAACTACCTATTAACTGAGAGTGGGGTCTTTACAGGAAAATCTCAGACTGCTATCAATCAAGGTTTGAGATTACCTCTAAAGACCCAAACATTCGAGGTTAATAAGTTCTTTATTATATGGCTTTTTGCTTTGTTTTTGCAGGCCCATAATCAGACTGAAAGTATTACAGGGGAATAATGCCCTAGAATTAGCCAATTAGAGCATGTGTCTATATCGGCTTCAAACAAAAGACAAATAATAATTTACTTATTTGCTACCAATAACAAATATATACTTAAGAGGTAAAGTCATATAATTAATGCTTATCAACATTACATTCTTCATCTTGCAATCGCTGTGCCAGTGCTCCATCTTCACGCACCCTGAAGTCCTGACAGACTGGAAAACAAAAACAAATTAACTGAAACTAAGCTACTGACAACTTATAATATAAATATAATGAATAAAGTTGAATTTGCAGAAGGCTTCGGAATTAGTTTGCCGGTGACCCCTGAACTAAACCTTCCAAGCAGCAATGTAAGATATGTAATGCAAAAATGTACATGTAAATCATGCACTTAGCTATACAAGCACTAAGCTTAGCTAGTTTACAGGCATGCCACTGGAACAGAGGAAACAAATACTTCAAATAAAATAATGTAACATATGTAGTTAAAAATCCCAACTGGCAGGAGGCAGACCAGTTGGTTATTTACAAAGCGTGACCGAGGATTTGAACTTGGGACAACTGAGAAACAAATCCCACTAGAGGCAGGGTGGAGGCCTTGAACCCAGAACCTCCAGATTACAACACCAGAGTCCTAAACCAGTCAGCCACGTTGCCTCCAATATGGTAAGGATTAATTTAGTCTGTTTCCGAGTCTTGTACAGGCACGTCAGGACAAGAATCTCTTGTTTCTCCAGCATAAAGCAACTAGGAGTATAATTTCTGTTTCCAACTGGATGGGATGCTAGCCCATCGCAATTAAGGCCACTCCCATATCTAGCATTATGATAAATTTGATGCAACTGTCTGTGCGCACGTGGTTGAAAAGTGCACTATGGCAGTCAAGTCTCTGAATGGGGAACGTCATAAATGAGACAATGTAGTATAGCAAAGTGCAGGTTTGATCACGTTCCTTTCTGGTAGGACAAACATTTCATGAGATGCTGTCTTTAATTCATGAAAATTAATCTTCTGTAATAAAAAAAAGGCTTCACAACATTGTAGCAAGTAAATGTAAACTAAATATAATACCAAAAGTAGGACTGCTGATCTTTTGATTCACAGACTAAGATCAAGCTACAATTCAATACTGCAAGCCGCTGCTAATAAGCCCTGGGCTTATAGACTCTTTTCATAAACTTATTTTGTATGCATTTAAATAAGCCTCACTAAACTCGTTTGGAAGTAAAAATTCTTTTGAATTATCAACTCAAAAACAAGGTTAGTCAGGCTAAATTTAATACTTACAAAAGAATTTATAATTGGCAGCCATTTATGGATATAGGGTCTATACAACTTTGTAAGGGCTTTTAGATGTTTTGAAATGAGCTAAGGCTGCACATGCTGATCGCAATTATACATGTAGCTTTTTCATTTACGGGTAATTCAGCTTTAAAACATCATAACAAAACAAATCAAAACAAGGAAGGCTAGAGGGGGACTTATATTCAGATATATTACCTGCTTTACAGGTAGATGGGCCTATAAGCGGTGGGACTTATAACCGGAGGGGCTTATAACCAGAGGGGTTTATAACCAGAGGGGCTTATAACCAGAGGGGCTTATAACCAGAGGGGCTTACAACCAGAGGGGCTTACAACCAGAGGGGCTTATAACCGGAGGGGCTTATAACTGGAGGGGCTTATAAGTGGCAGTTTACGGTACTCTTGAATGTTCTTTATTGATCACAAGTTCCAATACCAGCAGTAGCTGCAAAAACTGTACTAAAAGGGGATATAATTCATGGTAGGCCACCCATATAGTCTCCCTGCAGTTTGCATCTATTTACTGCCGTTTGCTTGCGGTTAGCATTTAAATATTGTGTTTAATTGCAGTTGGCATTTATTTACTACTGTTTGCTTCCGGTTAACATTTAATTACTGCTGTTTGCTTCCGGTTAGCATTTAAGGAGTAAAAGGGAAGGCGATTATATGTGGCCTACCATGAATTATCTGCCACTAAAAGGTACTACAAATTTACAGGTTAAAGTGTAGTCTGTAGTTATCAAGGTTTGTTATGAGACCTAAGAGGGATTATCGATTTTAAAAGCCTGACAGATGAATTTACAGATAACAAGCTGCCAAAGTACGCATGCTCCACTGGAAATCTAAAATTCCCACAGAACCTTAATTACCTCAAAATTAATGACATTACATAAATGAATATTGACTTACCACAGCCATCACAATCACAGTCTACACAAGGATTCTTTATCATCAAATGTCTGTCATTCATGACTAACATTTGATTTGGGCAACACAAAGCAATAACATATAATTCTGGCCAAATGTTGTCATTTTCTTAGTGTGCCCAAATAAAAACAACATCAAAACCACTAGAAAACGCTTTGTGTTTTAAAACAATGCAACGTTTTACAACTGTAAGATGTTTTTTTTTTTCCCGGCAATAAGACTATTTATTCTTTTATTGTCTTTCTTTAAAACCTTGTTTTGACAAAGTGGAAACAATCAAATAACAAAACTTACAAAATGCACACATCAAAGATGAATCATTCTAGTATCTATTGAGATCAGCTGTTTGAAACAAGGATTACCATAAGGAAATCATTGGTATAAAATAATTTCATATCACATTACTTTTAAGCCTGGCCTGACATAACAAATAGCTTTTTGTTTAGCCAAGCACAGTAGGGTGACCTCACACTGAGAATAAATTTTGCACTAAATTTGCAATATAATTTTAATTGCATTGATTTCTTCAGCTGACCTCATACACACAATGGTAATTTTTGCCTAGGCCTTTAACACATGAATAAATTACCAAACTGAACAAAGAGATATTCAAAAACAAACTCAGCAATTTTCCCTTTAAAAAAATGACTGTAACATTGACAAGTATTTTCTAGACTTACGAAAATCAAACTGCAAATTGTATGCAATATTCTCACAGTTAGCTTACATGTAAACATTTTCAAAATTTTCATTTTAAAAATTAAGTGAACTTGTTGAAAAAGTTGGTCAACAAGTTTCATTACACTAAAATATTTTGTTAGTGCAAACCGACTAAGGAAGTGTCAGTTATTTGATTTAACTTAATCGTCCATATTTACTTTATAAACTCATAAACGAAGAGCCTATTAAATTACTTAATTTTCAACGAAATTCTTCAGCAAAATATTTTTATCTCAACATGTATTTCACAAGAGGAGCTCGTGATCAGAAGAAGAAATACGGATTCCAATATTTTTTAGTACTACAACAGATGCGAACATATCATAAACTAAGATTAACTTAGTACAGTATAAGCTAGCTAAGCGGGCGGAAAACTTTTAAATGATGTTTTCGTGCAGGATCATTTTCAACCGAAGCAGAAATTACTCTGATTATCAAGTTCAGTTCTCTTATTTTCGCATCTTCTGATCCCCTCGCCCATTTAAGTTCGCTTAGTTGTGTTTAAAAGTTCCTTATGGAGCCATAGTTAAAAACAAAGGCGAATTAAACGCCGTGACTGAAGCGACCTAGTGTAATCCCAATTGAAAACCATCACTGCATGGGTGAGAAACAATCGACAAAATGGCGGCTGTTGACATTTCATTTGATTCTTGGCCTGTCTGTTCTTTTTACGAAAAAAAAAAATAAACGCGTTTCAAAGCAGTGACACACTTCTAACTTCGAAGAGCCACTCAATATTCGTTACATGATGTAGGATATTTGAACACCATAACGTTAAAAACTCTTCGCCACCTCCAACACCAGAAATTACAGCTGTGATTCAAGGCTTACACGAAAGCTTTATTTATCCATCGTCTGTAATGATCGAAACTTCAATATTCATGATATGACAGCGAAAGCAGGTAAAGTATAGAAACAAAGGGAGCACGTACAAATATCTATTCTGTCTAATACGCCGATGAAAAAAAAAATAATTCCGAGAGATCGGAAACCTGTGGCAGGTCTCTCGAAAAGACCATGAAACTTATCATGCACACAATATTTTTTCGATTCATACAATTGTAGCTGTACAGGTCACAGGTTTAAATCATTAAAAATATAATGACATGCGACCCGTAACGACTATCAATTGAACCACGTTATAATTCTTCAACTTGGATACACGTTTCTCAACTGTGTTGAAATGAAATTTTGAACCTGACTATGTAGAACTACAGTCAAACGATCAACCAAAGGCATGTCGATTTTATAGAACTTGTTTAGCCGCGATTTTTACGGATCTTACCACAAGATCTTACCTTGACGAACAGAAGGTCTGTCAGATTCGTCTACTTTAGCCATGTCTCTTCAAACAAGCCCAAACTGGCGGAAAAATTGGATCAGATTTAGAGCATTTCGATCAATATCGGAGAGTTTTTATTTCGGAGCCGTTTCCTGTTGTTATCCGGGACCTTGGTACTTGAGCAAATAAACGATTCTCATTGGTCAAGAAAACAATAGGTATTCACTTCTGAGCCACCACTTCCGAAATGCATGAAAAGCGGAAATGCTATCATTTCTGTTCGCCAAATAAACGCTCTAAATAAAATAAATAATCCCCATAATTTACTCCATAATTGCCTCAACACACGTGCTAAATGGTAGAATTTTCATTCGTCGCCTTGCCTTAGAGAAGCAGAATATTTCCTGCGTTTGTATAGACCTTTTGACGTGACAACCGTTACTGGGTCGTTACTGCCCTTAGGCAACCAAAGGGTTCAAATACGGCAGAGGGCAATTTTCACCATTAAATTTCATGGTTGAGTAATATTGGAGCCGATTTTTCGAGTTCAGGATATAGCAGGAGTACGGAATAGACTGATCGTATCAATCTATCGGAAGAAATCATCGAAAATTTCAGATATACCGGAAGTTAGCGGAAACAAGGTATAAAAGAATTTGATCCTTGGTTTTTATTTTGTTTTGTTTTTTTTTAATTTAAACGATGTTTTATCGTCTCTCAGTTATAAAATGATCAAAGGAAAATTCATTATCTGGACAAAAATAATTGATTTAAAGCTTAAGCTTCCTAAATGTCTTAACATTAAGTGAGCTCTAGTTGTAATTGTTGATCCATGTTTTTTGCGGAGATGGCGGGAGGTAAAAGAGGGCGTCTGGGAGGGACACTTAAGTATGACGTTATGTAAATACTTTTGTAATGCCTTCTCTGTATCGCCTTTTCACACACCCACTAGAGAAAAAAATTTGCATTCAGTAGCTTTTGCTAAGAGAGATCAGACGGTATTGTCAGCTGTTTACTCAAGACTCGATATCTGAAAAATGTACTTACATATCCTCGAGACCTCACTTAGATATGCTTAACCGAACATGGTTAAGATATGCTTTGCGCGAGCGATTGCCGTTGTGCGAACAGGTTGCGATAAAGGACGGGTGTGGAGCGAATTTATCAAAGTCATCAAAGTGAATTGGAACGAAACACAATTAAACATGGTTTTATGTTACAGAATGGATCGATCTTCAGCACAGTCAGCGTGCCGGGATGGAGAGAGAGAGAGAGCAGGGAAAACAATTGGATTATATCAGATTTTAGATTTGATTTTAACTCAGCGAAGGACATTCGAAGAAATCAAGACATGTGTCACGTTTTAGGGACGGAACCAAGACAATAATGTCACGAATTACCGTGATAAAACCAATGGAAAAAAAAATAGATCAATGTCCCATTTTTCAAACTCCAGAACTCGGTGTAATGCCGGAATCGGATCAAAGGGCAAACCTTCGAATTAGAAATTTCAACATATGAACAAGCTCCAGCACTGTTAGTTCACGGATTCAAATATACCGATTTCAACCTGTGGAAACAAAACATTATCTTGGAAATCGATTTTTTTCACCCTTTTGCGGAGGTGGCAGGAGTGCTTCGTTTAGGCTGCGGAGCCATATAAAGCGATTTAACAAGAGTTGGAGGGGGTAGTTTTTGCTCACTTTCGCACGCTCATCAACTCACTAACCCTGCATCGAAAAAAAGAAAAACTATAGACTGGAGAGTAAATCCTAACATCTGACCAGTGCTCGGACCTGCCGCGTGACTCGAGATACTCTGGTTGCAGGATGCGATCGTTCGGGTAGTATGGGAAGGTTGGGTAACAACAAGGAAAACGCATAGGCCGAAAAATATGGGTGGAGCTCGACGCGGGAAGGAAATGGGGTATTCGTTAAATATGGAAGACTGGGATTTGAAGGGAGTTCAATATGGTTTTGATGTGATCAATTTGGTTAAGATTTGATCATCCTACCGTCCTACGCTATAAGGACGTCTGTAAACAAGACCCGGAGGGCAGGGAACATCGGTCTAGCAAGCTGGGAGAAAGTGACTGAAGACCGCAGTGACTGGAGAAGGACCGTGAAAGTGTGCGTCTAGAGGAACGAGGAGTTGACAGAACAGCAATGGGAAGAGACGAGTGAGCGCAGGTGGCAGAGAGCAGATTTCTCTGTCCTCAGAGCCAGGCGCGACTTTTTCCTGTGACAACTGCGACGTGCAGAGCCTGATTTAGAATTGGCCTTTACAGCCACACCTGGGCTGCAACTCAGCCACAAGATCTTCTGAAAACGGACGATCGAGACGAATACAACAAAATTAAGGAAAATCTTACTATCTGTTCTGTGGCTGGTCAGCTTTGAAATATTTCTCCAAACGTTCGCCAAAGCTCAATGGAGGTATTGTTCAAAGACCTTCCTCACGGACCGAACAAAGTCAACTAGAATAAGATGAACCTTTAATATATTACCACATTATATACCTTATACTTTTATTCCGTTTTATAACTTCTTGATGCATCACATAAATCTATTTGGACCTATGAACATGCTCAATGAAACATCAAAACGTACAGCCGTTTTCTAAATTAAGCGAAATCTTAATGACAGCGAAAGCAAGTTGTTAGGCTTGCAGCATTTCTCTCGTTAGTTCTGCTAACTAAACTGAGCTAGTTCTATTTTCTTAACGGCGGCAAGAGCTAATAATTCCTCCATCCCGACGGTGGAGGAAGCAAATTCTCCTAACTGATCTTCAGGCGTTTCGCACAGCGCTTAAGTAAACGAGTCAAATTGAAGGCCTTCCAAAACTAGCTATTTTTCGCGCGCAGCCATATAGGTCGTATTAAAGAGGTTCTTTAAATAAGAAAATGACTGACTGAGCGAAACAGAATAAAGTGACCGTATTAACAGGATGGCAGTAAGGCGGGGTTCCACTACATAAGGCCTGGGTCAAAGGCTTTTCACGACAAAGCTAAATTGCCTGAGTTCTGCTACTCAGTTCTAGCAGTCCCTGTTGTTCGCTATTGAAAACTGTGTATATCTTTCTACCACTCTAAACAGCAGACGTGTAGCCAGCGACTTCGTTCTTATCTTCCACAATAACCAATTCTTCTTCTTGCTCAGAAGTTTCTTTGTTAATAAAATCCGGAAGAGGTTTTCCTCGTGTCTCGGGCAGCATGATGGCGATGAGTCCGGCTGAAAGTGACGTGGCACCAAAAACGATTGGAGGAACTACCAGTGGTGTACTGTCCTGTAAAGAGGAAATAACCAATGATAACCGGTTAATAATTGCCATGTCGGACCTGGGTGTGTCCGATTTTGAAAGAGGGCTTTATATGAACTTACAAGCGTCTCCAGTAACGAGAATCAAACACTTATTACTTCAGCTGCAAATATAAGGATGATAGTTAAAAACGAGAAGAAATGTTTGTCGAGGTCTCACTTCCGAAAGCAAGTTGAAACCTGAAAAGTGTCAGTTCCAGAATTCATTTTCAAGCATTTTTCAAATTAACTGTCCAAGCCTTCATGGAATAAAATTAGGTTTGGAGAAAGGACGATGAAAGTTGCCAAGGTAGGACGTACTTTCTAAAGACCTGATTTTATGTGGATTGCTCTATTCTGATCTAAGATGTGTAGGATTTTTTTCCTTACCACTATGTATGGGGCAGCCATTCCTCCAATTCTTGCACACAGAGAGGAAAATCCCACTCCAATTGTTCTGTACAACAGAAATTAACGAAGAAAAGCGAACAATACCCTAATTATTTTAATGTCACCTTATAGGTTTACTTCACCGCTAGTCTGATTCCCAGTGATATAAATAAACAGAACTTTATAATTATCATGGCCATTTCCGAGTTACCTTATGCCTCCATTTCAAAACGAACCCTCGTGCAAAACCTTTCATCTGAAAATAAGTTTGATTTTTTTAAAACACATTTTCAGATAAATAGTTTCGAACAAAGACTTGTTTTGACACCGAGGCAAAAGGCAACTCGGAAATGGCGGGTGTTGGAAGACAAAAGAAAAGAGATACTGCATTCAGCAAGATTTCTTCCACGCGGATCGAGCAAGAGAGAAATGCTCGCAGTCTAGCCTTCGATATTTTAAATTTCCTCAAAAATTACCAAAAATAGCTATGGAAACAGTCTCTCCGCAGAAGAGATATTCTTATACGAGGACATTTAGTAGTTATCTAGACCTACGTACACGTTATTTACCTCATCACTGTTGGATACAGCTCAGCCGTGTGGATATATATTTGGTAATACGCTGCAGAGATGGTGAACTTGCCGATCAAGGCCAGTGCAATGACGAGGGAGGTCAGATCATTTTCCTTCCCTGAAAACATTTGAAAGAAATTTGACGTTAATTATTTTTTTTCAGCAAAAATCAAGACAACGCTGGTATTTCTATTTTCTAATTACCAGAAACTTGTATCAAGAAAACACAGATAAGAGCGATTCCTCCAATAATGTAATATGCCATCAGTGGAAAACGACGATTCACTCTGCAAATGAGAAATAGAAACAGATTACTTAGGAATTTTAACAAACTTTCAGAGGTTAATTATCGTGCAAAAATAACGGCCTCTGATCACTGTTATCCGGAAGTGATAAGAAGCGCTTGAATTCTCACGTTAGGACTTAAACAAATATTCGAAAAAGATAAGATTCCTAAGTCATGATATATTTGATCGAGGGAGAGTCTAATTTTCGTCGGCCGCGTATAATTGTCGCGGGATACGGGTCGCGGGTAAGCTGTCGTGGGAAAGTTGTCGTGGACACGAAGTTTAGACACTCCCTACGTCATGTATATTGGACTGTTGTGTAGCTGTCGTGGGAAAGTTGTCGTGGACACGAAGTTTAGACACTCCCTACGTCATGTATATTGGACTGTCGTGTGCTACACTAGTGTAGTTGACGTAAAAGAAATAATTTCAGTTTTAACTGGTTTTTGCTCTCACTCTCACCTCTCGACTAAGTAGGTTGCGAGTAGGTACGCGGGAATTTCCACCAATCCGGAAGCAGCAAAGTTCAAGTAAAAATCTCCCGCCAAATTTCCCGAGTTGAAGCTGAGCCCGTAGTACACCATGCTGGTCACACACCTGAACGAAACAAGAACGAGTTATTTCTTACTCTGTAATCAGTCAGGTTAATCTCGTATGTAGCCGTGGGAGGTCTGGGTTTGAGATTACCTTCATGTCAGTCCAAGTCTCCTGTCAGTCAATCAGTCAGTCAGTCAGTCAGTCAGTCGGTCGGTCGGTCGGTCGGTCGGTCAGACAGACAGACAGTCTGTCCCCTCCCTCCCCCTCCTCAACCAGTTAACTTACCAAGACCACGCTTCGATAAGAGTGATTCTTATCAAGTATTTGGTGCTAAACAAATGCCACAAGTGGTAAGTCTTGGTTTTCTCTTCCTCTTTTCCATCTGTTTGCATCGTCTCTATGGCTCCCTCGGGGTACTCGTACCCATTCTGCCTCGCCATTTTCCGCAAGATTTCTTCTGCTTCATTGACTCTGCCTCTGGCGGAAAGCCAGCGAGGAGACTCTGGAATCAGCCTAGGAAAAAAAAAACACGAAACAAAACATAAGTTAAATCGAGTTTAGCAGTGTCTTTGAAGAACAGTTATCCCAGAATCTAGACTCTTAATTAGCTCAAAAGCTCTGAGTTTCCTTAATGGAGCAAACTCTTGTGACCGAAATTTTTGTCCGAAATTTGTCCGAAATGCGATAAAAAGTGTCCAAAAACTAAACGTCCCAAATAAAAAATAAGTAATGTATCGATTTGCGCACTTATTGCGAAATTTAATACATATAACCACTGACAACACCTTTTCAATAACCATGTTCTGCTGGCAGTGAGTGGTTCTTATGTTCTTACCGCTAAAAATTCAGATAGATATTCCACGAACACACGTTTAGAAGAATGCCTCACCCTTACCAGTAGTAAGCAATAAAAGGCAAGTTAAGCAGCGTGATCAACAAGCTGAAGGTTTTCCAGTCCCTGACAAAGTACGCAATCAACGCTTGCACAGCAATCCCAACCCCATAAGCCACTTGGGATAAACAGTTCGCCCAACGTCGCCATCGAGGTGTGGCCATCTCGGTCATTAGGAGAAACCCCGCTATAAGACATCCTACCGAAAGGAGCAAAGAGAGTAAAACAAAAATAAAAATGAACGACAAGCAGGACACGCAGGCCACGCAGATAAGAGATAATTTTCATGCCATGACGAGAGAATTCCACGCTAACTTTCACCCAAAAAACATCGCGAAGTAACGAGCGCAATATCGTTTTTTTGGTGAAATATTTCGAATTCTCTTGTCATTTCTGCCGTTTTTAATCGCTTAACTCACCTCCACTGCAAATTCCGAGGGGAACTCTCAGGACGACATACATAACGAAGTTCACTGAGAAACTTTCAATCAGGGAGGCAATAAACTGAACCAGCATGGTGATCAGAAGGGTCACTCGGCGTCCAAACCTGTCAGACACCCAACCAAAAAAGTACGCACCGAACAGCTTGCCCGCGTAGAATATGGTCTTTGTAAGTGGCACATATTTCTTGGCATCATCGCATAAAATGTTCCACTGAAAAAAAAA